ATTTCGTTTGAACCACGCAACACACTACTATTCACTTACGCGTTATCGACTGACGAAAAACATCGTGATAAACGTTTCAAATTCTTTCGCTTTTTTATTTCCGATGCGATGAACCGGTCAGGCGGATTATATCCGTTGTCGCCAAACACGAGCATATAATAGGCAGGGCGGTACTCAAACTTCCAAAGGGCTATAACTTTGTTACTTTAATTTTACCAGAAACATGGTAAAGGAAAAAACATTTCTTTTGATCAGATCTACTCACTGTATATATATATATATATATATATATATATATATATATATATATATATACAGGGTGACTTCGAAGTTGAGTCATTTATTTTAACAGTGAGTAGATCTGATCAAAAGAAATGTTTTTTTCCTTTACCATTTTTCTGGTAAAATTAAAGTAACAAAGTTATAGCCCTTTGGAAGTTTGAGTACCGCCCTGCCTATTATATGCTCGTGTTTGGCGACAACGGATATAATCCGCCTGACCGGTTCATCGCATCGGAAACAAAAAAGCGAAAGAATTTGAAACGTTTATCACGATGTTTTTCGTCAGTCGATAAATCCTGAGTGAATAGTAGTGTGTTGCGTGGCTCAAACGAAATCAAAAATGGCACATGTTTACGAAAATGCTGAACTTGTGGACATGATTCTTATTTACGGGGGGGCAGTCTTTACAAAATGCTCCCGGATGCATCACGGATTTATGCGAATCGGTTTCCCAATCGAGTGCAACCAACCCCTCGTGCCTTTGTTAATGTAGTGCAAAGGGCTCGTGAATCAGGTGACTTAAGACCTCACAGGTGAGGGCATGCTGCTCCAAGACCGCACGATCAAATACAGGTCCGCACTGAAATACTTGTCGGGAGGATACTTTATTAAACAAGGTAACATTTTTTTTTATTTTTTTTTTTATTTTTACACACATATTTTGGTTTATCTTCCTTCTACAATCATTATCTGAAAATTAATGACTCAACTTCAAAGTCACCCTGTATATATATTAATGACCTTTTCAAGTTAAAAAACGATGGAGAAATTATTTGTTTAGCAGACGATACGGCAATTATTTATTCAGACAAAGATTGGATTTCTTTAAAAAACAAAATTGTACTAGATTTTCGAAAGGTTACAAATGTTTTCACTGAAAGGATTTTATCAGTCAATTTCAACAAAACATACTGTATTACATTGTTTTGCGACAACAGATCTCCCCCAAATTTTAATCAACTCCAAATTAAAACGTTCAATAGCTGCAGAAATATACAATCGGTTGATAATTTCAAATATCTAGGGGTATTCATAGATAACCATCTAAGATGGAATATACATGTTTAAAATTTAGTAAGAAAATTATTCTTATTCCGAAATCAAATATTTCAGCATTTTTTTAATATAATAAAATACCTACACATGATACAGGTATATCATGCCCTTGTTCAATCATTACTATCTTATGGAATCTTAGCATGGGGGGAGTCACGAATAATTATTATAATAAGATTGAAATTAGCAGAAGTGGATTTTGAAAGTTATTTTGAACAAAAAGAAATGTTATCCCACAGAAAATCTTTACAATGAATCTCAGCTTTTCGATTCCGGCAAATTTATCTTTATCATACAATAATATATTTAACAAAAAATCCAAAATTGTTACATACATTCAGCCACAACCATCAAACGCGCTTCAAGGAAACTTCTGCACTAATTCCTAGACTAAATAAAACTATCAGCCAAAGATCATTCTATTTTAGATGCTCAAAATTTTATAATGTTATTTCTACAAACTTTAACGTTTAAAAATTGAATTAAAATTATGGATCCTAAATCAACCAAGGCTACAAATCCATAAGTTTGTTGACACTAAAAACCAATATGTTATTTGATAATAAAGTGATGCAAATTTATACATTTGACTAGTATACTAGAAAATTTGTTGTATTAATATAATTCAACTTCGGTTAAAACCCAACACAAGTGTATATTATGTTTATTGGACATTGCCGTTATTATTTCTACAAAAACTTTGTAATTGGACCAATAAACATTATTATTATTATTATATATATCATTCTGATGGTTAGTTATTGACTTACGATTCAATGTACAAAAACGCTCTAAGTTGACAAACCGCCAATTCGCTGTTTCTAGGGGTATAAAGTAATCACAACGAGCTCCAAAATGAATTATCACATGGCTCTTCATTCCGTTTAAAAAATGTTCCAAAGTGTCACCCAACCGAAGACTTAAAATTTTCAGATGACACTGAAATATAAAACTCATTCATCAATTTCATCATTACGGAAAAAATAACTGGGGAAGGGACCTTTTAGAAAAGCAGTGCGTATTAGATGCCTCTTTAATAAAGCACCTCAGGTTAATTATTTTAAAGTGTAGTCATTTCCCTTTGCAAGAATTAGCATAAACACGAATAACGTACCATCGCTCAGCATAAACAAAACACGATCCTGATATGATGATAATATTCTATTTCGATGCGAGATGATTTAATGATGCTTTCATCAAAATTAAAAAAAGTAGTAAAACATGAGTATTTTTAGGAATTACGTATACTCCAACTATATTTAATCGGCTGTAATTATGGCCATCGTGAATTGATCATCAGTGTCACTACCGACGACCTTCGAGTGTTAAATTACATATAAGTATGTTAGCGGTATCAGTTACAACATAAGAACATTAAGGAACCGAAGGATCGAACACTTGCTGCATATTTGAAGAAAATTCGGCTTTGTTCGTTGATGGGTGGAACACTGCATCATTCTACATAACGAAATTATTGTTCTGACGCAGCATGGATATGATGTTTTATCGAGGTAATGTAACTTTCATGAACCCTGTATCCAAACTACAGGAAAAGAATTATTGATTGATGAATGTTTTTTTGACTGAATTTATAACAAATAAAATAAAAAAAAATACATTTTTCAAAACAAGCTTTTATTTAGCTGTTAGTGATATGAACTAAAAGCTGAGAAATAATTTTCTCCGATTGGAAATGTTTTCTCAAGTTTTCAAATAAAGCGTATTACACCCTTTTTCTATCCTGCTGTCAAAACGTAACACGCTTTTATTTGAAAACTTGAGATGAACGAGCTTCATTATCGTTTAGTTATTACTAATAGGAAAACATTATTTCTAAATTTTTAGTTCATATCCATTAAGAGCTAAATAAAAGCGTGCCTTTAACATATATTTTTTCTGTTTAATATTTTTGATGTCAACTAGTTTGGGAATTTCTGTATACTTTTCATATATTCCATTAATATTCAGGTATAAATTATATAATGATAAATCGATATTTTGCGGCGATCGCCATATGAAATTTAGAATGAGGTTATTATTTGTTTATTATATTTCTCTCATTGAGCCCTTTCATTTGCCATTTGCCGGAAGCCTCCATATTGAATTTATGGAATAATGAAGCCACGTTGCTTGTTATGTTTGTCTTATAAAGCCCTTTAATTTGATACCTATCTCATATGTAATGGTATAAAAAAACGTGATCTTGCGGCGGTCGCCATATTAGATTTAGAATGACGTCACTTTTGTTATTGTATTTCTCTCATCAAGCCCTTTCATTTGATACCCATATCATGGGGGTAACTATGGAAGTGATAAATCGCCATTTTGCACTTTCACGCAAACTAAACGTGGTTACAAAATTTCGGCTCAATTAGTTAAGGTTAGCTGATTCAAAATTCAGTTCCAAGATTTGTACCACATACGAACAGGTTAAATAAGTAAAAAATGCGTTCACCGTTTACATTTATATTCCTGCTGTTTATCAATGATATGAGTGGGAGCTTGGTTAGTGGGAGGTCACCGACAGGAGTATTACGTAAAAAACCTAAAAAACGTAAAACAAAAACCGACGAAATGTCATCTTGCAGACTAGGTAGTTTTTCGTGTGTAAATAGTTGATTCCACGATTGTTCGCTATACTCGCTGTTCGCTGACGTTTAAGCAACACGCACAGCTACAAAACGAGTTCATAACAAGTGTACAATAGCTCGTGCTAAGTTAACATCTTGTAAAAAAACCTACGTTATGTCACAAAAAACATTCGAAATGTCAAGAAAAAAAACAACTTTTCACTGTACAAACTGGGCTGCGTTCGTAAATTGTTTGACGTACATGTTACTTGCGTTCGGAAATAGAACAAAGTAATCCTTCTAAAACGTCAAAAGTGTGCTTTAGTTCCCGATCTCAAAACCTTGGGAATAAGAGTTCTGTCACTTGTCATTCTCATGGTTCATTGTTTGTTTATTTTATTTGGTTATCAAAAACTGCTAAAAATTGGCAGAATATATATTTTTCATGATAAATGATACCCCGTATCGCTAGGGCCTCTTATAATAATTACAATGGTCGCAAAAAACGTGGTTAGAAATAAGTCGGCTGTCATCAAGTTCATTACATGACTCTATAATAATTTAGGCGTTCCAAAAATAAGCACAGGAACAAACGTGAAATGAACTATTTTCACGCTAAAAACTACTTAGTCTACAAGATGACATTTCGTCGGTTTTTTTTGATTTTTTATGGGTTTTTTACATAATACCTCTGTCGCACAAATGGAAGATAAGGCAGACATGATTTTACAAAAATTTTTACAATGGATTGCGGTATACAAGTTGATAGTAAATACATACAAAACAAAGTATACAGTTTTCTATAAAAGACGAACCGTACCCACTCTGACGCTCACGCTAAACAGTACAACCATAGTGAAGGTAGAAAGCCACACTGTTCTGGGTCTCTACTTGGACGAAACACTTCCTGGGGAAACACACATAGAGTATGTGGCTAGTAAGCTTAACTCGGCATACTTTGCATTAAGAAACCTACGGCGACCAGGTAGTCATAGGTGTCTCCTAGATACTTATTTTGCAATGGCTTACTGTCACATGAGGTACTTGATTATATATTGGATAATTTTTTGTTCCATACAGAGAATATTCATGCTACAAAAGAGTATCTGAAGACAACAATATTTTAACGTTACCGTCAATACTGATCTACGAGTCACGCTGTAATAGTACTTAGATGCCTTTATTGTTAGATAATAGAATTGCACAATAATAATCTTTTTCAAACTCGTTAACATTCGAATCTACCGTTCTTCTGCAAATAGGCGGTGACTGTAATTATTATAAGAGAAACAGGTAGGTCCCATGAATATTCACCGATGTCTATATATATTTGGTATGTTATCTATTATTTATATTTATCCACATAGCTATTCGCAGAATTGATATGACTCACTACAAAAAAATGAGATATAGGTTTTCTCTCGTAAAAATAAACTGAGTAGGTACTAATTCACCTGAAGTCTTTTTATTTCCATATACTCTAATTTCTGGTTTGTATTTAGCAAAATAACTTGTTCTGTAGGAACTACGAACTCATGTTTTACTGACGTACTGAGTAGCATCAATGTTTGTACCTGTATTTGAGAAGTTACGACATTGTATACATATAAATGGATAAGTTCGAGATAATTACTTACAGAATCCACTAAATGTAATGAAACCAGCAACCATGAGCACTGGATGCAGGTTGAACTGCTTATCTGGGTTTTCCCTCCAGGCGAACCCGCCATGGTACTGTAGTATCCAGAAGAGGGTTAGTGCAAGTGCTCCCAGGAGCAGTACACTAGCCAGTACCACCACCAACGTGTATTCTATCCAACTGCCACAGCTCCATTGGTTCTCCTCTTGATAATGCCGGTGCCTGAAACAAACGAGTAATATTTAATTATGCAGAAAACATATAATTCTTCTTCTACAGAAGAGTCATGAATTCCGAACCAAATCGCATTTTAAAATCTTCAACAAAAATGCATTTCTTAGTAACTGTAAAAGATCGTACAGATCAATTTTTCAATGACGATGCAGTTGGTCATCGTTTTTTGTATTGGAAAAAAACGTACTCCAAGTTTCTACACTGAGTGAAATCCCATTTCGATATTTTCCGCTGAAGGAATCAGCCAGTTTGACTTGATTTCCTATTCAGCATGCTGATAAAATGTGACAATACATTTTATGTCAAACTGCCAATGTCAGGAAAATTTGCTGGGAAGTAAATCTGAGCAATTAGAACGTGTTTTTGAGGTAATGGATCTAACGAGTATAGTCGATTTCTTCTAAAATATATCTCAAGCTAGAGAAACACTATACGATTTGTGCAAGATCCTCTCACCCCGATATTAAATCAGGAAATTCTTTATAAATCATGAAACTTCCTACTGTTTTTATGCAAAGGTACGTGAACAAAATATTTATTTGATGTTTTAATCATCGTACTCGTAGATTTTTGAGCAATAACGTATTAAAGATAACCTTTTTTTGTAATTTCTCTCATAATAAATAGTCAGTAACTTAGTAATTAAGGAAACAAATTGAGCGGAGGACAACTATTGGTCGCCACGACCACGTATAGTCGACAGCCACTATACTGGGTACGGATTAGTGACGTCAACTGTGAAAGTGTATAACTTTTTTATTTTTAGATATAAATCGATAATTTGATCACACTCGTTTCATTTCTCTCATAATAAATAGTCAGTAACTTACTAAGTAAGGAAACAAATTGAGCGGAGAACAACTATTGGTCGCCACAACCACGTATAGTCGACAGCCGCTATACTGGGTATGGATTAGTGACGTCAACTGTGAAAGTGTACAACTTTTTTATTTTTAGATATAAATAGATAATTCGATCACACTCCTTTCATTTTTCTCAAATTTTCATTTCATCTGATAAAAAATTATAAACTTCTCTAATGCATAAACTTAATTAGGAATTGGTGCGGTTTTAAAATGCGGCGTATGCCTACGGACGGAAGGGAAGAGGAGGAACATCAAGAGGCTGACATACAGGGTTTGTCTGGAAAGTAATAGGACTGAGACGATTTAAAAAAATTATTGAGCCAATCGTTACAATTCTTTAAAAACTTTCAAAATAAGCTCCTTCTGCGTCGATGCAGCGCTGCCGGCGCGATTTCCAAGCATTGAAGGCTTCACGGAAGGTATTCTCCGGAATAGCCTTGAGAGCCGCGGTGCATGTTGCTTGGATCCCCTCTGTTGTCTCAAAATGCGTGCCTTTCGTCCGCCTTTTCAGGCGAGGAAACAAAAAAAAGTCCGGGGGCCACATGTGGGCTGTAGGGCGGCTGCGGAAGCGTTGGGATGCCGGCCCTGGTCAGGTAGCTGTTCACAAAAAAGACGGTGTGGTGGTGCAACTTCCAGTCGGCTGCGATGTCTTGTCGGACCCGACTGACCCTTCGTTTGAGTCTCCTGAGCACTTCCACGTAAAACTTGGCGTTGACGGTTTGTCCAGGAGGAAGAAATTCATGGTGGATGATGCCTTTGATGTAAAAAAGACAATGAGCATCGTTTTCACTTTGGATTTGCTCATTCTTCCCTTTTTTGGGCGAGGAGACGCCGTTGTGTGCCACTCGGAAGATTGCCTCGTTGTCTCGGGATCATACTCAAAGATCCACGACTCGTCACCTGTGATTACGTTATTCAAAAATTGGGGGTCACTTTCACACATGTTCAAATTTTCTTGGCACACTTCCACTCGCCGCAATTTCTGGTCGTCAGTGAGCACTTTTGGGACCATCTTCGCGTACACCTTGCGCATGTTCAAATGCTGTGTCACAATGTCATGAACCACAGATTTTGGTAAATTTAACATCTGGGCAATTAAGCGAATACTTAGTCGATTGTCTGAGTTCAAAACTTTGCGCACACGAGTCACATTATCTGTGTTTGTCGAAGTCGAAGGTCTTCCAGAACGGTCTTCATCAGCGACCTCTTTCCGGCCCTCCAAAAAGGCCTGGTGCCACCGAAACACACCACTTCTTGCTAAAGCAACACCTGTGTAAGCCTGCTTGATCATATCAAACGTCTCTGTCGCAGATTTACCGAGTGTCACACAGAATTTAATCGCATACCTCTGCTCTAACGAACGCTGCATTTTCGGCTTGCACCACTCACAGAAACACGTCGCGCGAAAATGCCTGTCCTGACTCTCCAAGTGCTCGGAGACAACTGACCAGCCGCTCATTCGTTAGCTAGGAACGCCCTCTACCGAATCCAGTCGGTGCGCGCACTTAACCATGGTGTACTGTGTCACAGTGGTGGGTTGTGGGTGGTTCTAATTGAGGTTTCTTCATTTTTCCAAATTTCTAATTAAATGTCCTGATCTCGACCATATTTTGTACAATTTCAAAGCGGGGTCATAAAAATTGTCCAAAAATTATTTAAAATCGTTATTGGATTTAGCCATGCTAGTTAGTGTAAATGCAGATGCCAAGTATAATCTTTTAAGATGTAAGAACTATTGTAAAATTCGGATGTTAAATAGAGAAAAATCTAGAATTATAGTTTCATGGACCTTACTGCTATGAACATGAACGTGATATCACGATTAACCATATAAGGGTGGTAAAATTAATTTTATGGTTACGACCATTTATTTCGACTAATTTCCTTAATTAAAATTTCTCGACCACTTGGTCACGTTAATTAACGGTTTATCACTCCTAGTATCGCTGCACTGCGTCGTGTCGACAGCATCTGGGAGCACCTTAATAGCTCTATTTATGGCACCAAAAATGAAAACATGGGTCGGCTACATTTGATACTGGCTGATAAGGGTATGTTATGGATCACGCTACATGCCTTGTTATATGAAAGATATCAGGGAAGTATACATTTATGTTTCTTCCTCTAAATTAGTTCGTCAAGGTTATTACTCAATTATAGTTTTTTGATAAGAAAATTCTTTACGTTATCGTCATTCTGAACACATACTACTCGACTAAGAGAATTTGAACCAATAATTGTGTCTTCAGCTTTCATGAAATTATTTTTTTAATAATCTTTAAGGTTCATTTCAACTTCAAACCAATTTGCTGAAACCACAGGTTGATACTAAACTAAATCGTGAGAACTCCCTTATGTGACTCTAGAAGCTAATTATCCAGGTGGCCAACTTACAGGTTTTACGAATAACTTCTGTTTTCATAGTTACAAATCACATTCAGAACCTAAATTTTTATAAAACACCTAGAACGAGCTCTCGCAGATTTTTTTTATTATTTTAACAAGGAATCCATCTTCAATGACAAAAGGTTGATCTTTCCATCAGCATTCTGGAGAACAGCAGGAATTCCAAACAACGAATATGTTACAATTAATTGTTAAACAATTCATCACCACCCAAGCTTTTCAACAGTTCTTCACAAATAACTGAATACCAATAAATTTCCGACTGTTTACAATAAGAATTTACAAGAAATAAGCAAAAATTGTTGAGTCAATTCACAATGAACTAAATTGCAATCCGTTTGTTGGTGTTCTATCAAAGCATAGAGTTGCCAGATGGGTCGGATAGAATTTCTCCAAGTCAAGCACAAAAATCCCTCAATATTGCTACTTTATCAAAAAAAATAAAACTAATTACAGTTATTGATAGAAAAGGGTTGGTTTTGGTAAAGAGCGAGGGGGATACTTTCTATCCGCGAAACGTGTGATATCTCCCAGAATATTATATCCACAAAAAATCCCCAAGCATGGCAACCCTGTCAAAGCACCACTAGTACACCAGGAGTCAAGTTTCGAAGTCCCATGTCCTTCCTAAAATTTAGATTTTTATGCGCGAAATGTCATTCTGACTAAGAGCTCATTTATGTCAAGCTGACAGTCGTAACCATTTCAAAGTCACGCGACATGGTTCAGAATTTACGTGGTAAGACAACTCGTACTCATCTCATGGGGCACAAATAGGGTGCATAAACGGAAAAGTACAATTTCAAAAGTGACAAATACTGGGGTTGTGATTGTCCAAGTACGCCAAGTATAGGTAGTATTATGATCATGCATAGATGAAAATACATATTGCGAAGTTTGAGTATAATGTAGTCTAGCGAAGAACTTAAAATAGTAAAATCATCGATGTCTTGGAAGATATCAGAAATAATAGTGAACCTGCAGTTACTTACAACTTGAATGGACAATCACGGCTTGGGCATATATTACCACCACCAATAGTGACAGGGTAGTATCTCCTCGGATACTCAGAAGTTCCCATCGGCAACTCTAGGAAACGTACTAAATACAGTGTTCCATTTCAAAAACAGACACTATCACCATACTTGGAACATTTCATTAAATAAGAGACAACGGAAAATGAAACAACATTTGTTGCATATACTCGTACATTATTTGCACTAGTCTAAATTTGAAGGTAAAAATGAGACGAATATTTACTTACCGATTACCGTTGTAGACGTACAACCGTTGTATTTGGGTCATAACTGGCGACTATGTTCTCGAGATCCGAACCAAGAAATATGATTTAGTTATTACGTATAATAATAGTTCACTGGTGACCGGTGGTGTGTAGCAAATTAGTTTTTTTTGTGTAGTAAAAACGATTTGTCAGATGCCGGTACGTGTTTAATATATTATGGGTGGCTGGCAGTGTTGGTATACACTGCCTCTTGGGTGTAGCGGTATCTTGCTTCACCTTCCAGCCTATTCACAATTAGATCGGATATTAACCCTAAATATAGCCCAGTCCTAGATAGCAAGAGGGAATAAAAATATTAGAGTCATTCCGCCAACCAACAGATAGCAACGCACAGGCCGCCCATGACGCTCTTTTGCTAGGCCCCAAGACTCGTCCTTGCAGGAATAGGCATAACCAATCTTCTTAGTGTTCTA